AAGTTAAGGATTGAGAAATGTATATGTGATAGAGTTGGTTATTGGGATGGGGCAATTACCTAAGGATGATCTGTGAATTTGCATTTGTGAACTTTCATTCCTGAATACAGTCATCTTGATTTGGGATATAAACACAGAGTATAGTTCTAGATTGGGATGGTGTTGTAATGTTATCTTTGTTTAAAATAGCCAAGTATTAGGAAGGCCATAGTTAGAGAAAGTATCAAAAGAATAGAAGATTAGGTAGAGGAAACAAAGAAATTTATTAAGTACTTATACATGAATGGAATAACTTGAGTAAATCAAATACTACTCAAATCCTACTCTAATGTGGCTACATGCCATATTTATAAGTAAAAGCAGTCCATTGTCCCAATAGTAGGAAAGAGCAGTAAGTAAGCAATGTCCTACTCTATAACCGATCACAAATGCATTTTAAGTAATGAATAACCAAATAATTAACTTATTCATGAAGGCAGAAGGACTAGCATAGATATAAATGCCACATGGGAGCCACTAATAAAGAAAGGAAGAGAAACAATAGAAAATATTCAGCAGTAGCACTAAAAGAGAAATGATAGCAAAGGAGGTCAAGCATGACAGTAGCAGCAGGCAGGAAAGAAAAACATTAGGTTTAAGGCTCCAAGTTAGAGACTCTGGAATGTTGTGGTAGAATAACTGAGTGTATTAAAGCATTGGTTCATTTATTTAGTGACATAGTTACTGCAAGTTCAATTCCTACAGACTCAGTGAAAACAGAATAAGCAATAAATAAACAGAACTAAAAAGAACATGCCAACTATCTCAAATTAAATAAAGGGTTCAGCTTGAAATTCCCTGAAGGTTAGCTCATAGCCAAAACATTGTGCTAATGACAAAGATGATGACATTAGTCCAAATGTAGTTGAGTTATTCCTAAAGTGAAAAGAATTTACAAATAAAGACTTTATACAAGACACAACATCAGTATAGAAAATATAGGGGTGAAATTAACAAGTTCTTAAAAATTGCCAGAGTGAAATTTTGTAACAAGTAAAAAAAAAACAAAAAAAAAAAGAACAAAAACAAAAAACAAACAAACCTTAGACCAGAGAATTGTAGAATTGACCAATCAAACTATTTTTTCTTCAGCAAAAAAGCCTCAGGACAACAATATAGCTTACAGGCTAAATTATACAAAGATAACTAATTAATAACTGACTTTACCTTGAGAATAGACTACTTAAAATGATTTAAAGGAAATAAAATCAACAAAAGATATGGATAGCATTCTCACCACACAAACTGAAAATTAACAACTCAGTACAAAACTGACTATAGCTAACCATTCTTCATTTCTCTTTATTGTTGATATATGCAAATGAATTTTAACCTTTTTTTTTTCTTTGGAATTAAGATTTCCAAACACTGTAGATACAAGTAGACCACGGAAAATCAGAACACCTGTCATCTGACACCACCACAAATTTGAATATAGTATGTTTACTTTTTATTTGGCTTTTTAAAATGACACCAATAGAAATAGTATTAATGGCATAAACTTAGAAATGCATGTAACATGTTCTATATTGCTCTTTTATTATAAGTAACTGTTTAAATAAGATTTATTAAACAAATAAACTTATTCATTCTAATGAGATATCATTAGAAACAACTAGCATCTCTCATTCATATGCAGTCATAACCATCAACAAACCCAGTTCAATAAAAGCTTAACAATTGAAATGTAAACTTTTTCTATTTTGTATTACAATTTCCCCAATACTGTTCTTGATATATATATATATATATATATATATATATATATATATATATATATATATATATATATTAAATTCATTCAAAAATTATAACATAAATATGCTATAACATCACTACAAAAATAGCCATTTTCTTTCAACATTTCTAGTGTCTTATGAAGTGATACTGACAAGACACCAGAAGTCTTGAAACAAAATGGCTACTTTTGTAGTGATGTTATAACATATTTATAATTTTTGAATAAATGCTATTTGCTCTACTCTGTATTGAGCACTTTTTAGGAATAGCGTTTTTGGTTATTGAAACTTTATTCTGTCTACACCAATCCTATACTTGGGTGTGTATATATATATATATATATATATATATATATATATATATGTGTGTGTGTGTGTACATGAATGGATTTTGTATTTATTAATCTAACATTTTAATTTATTGCTTAAATGTTATTTTTAATGGATACCTATATTTGAGTAGATGAATAACATCTACTCACTTGGTAGCTTTTTCTTTTTTATTCAGAATTTTATTATTTCCATCATATTTAATTGAGCTAACACTCTGCTATGGGCCCATAAATGATTCTAAGGTCAGCTTCACTTTTACAATCTCTCTTACACACATAGAAAACAAAGTTTATCTGTGTTACCTATGTTGGAAACTTGCCTGTCACTGTGTACAATAATGTGATGTTTGAGTCCTGCAAAAGACTTACAAGCCTTGTTATAAAACTCACACAAGTAACCTGCAGGTCTTTCTGGTAGGTTTGCATTCACAGAAGGTTGCACCTGACCTCCTCTCTGGTATGATCTCACATAACTAGTTAACCAGCTGATGAAAGGGTGGCATATATATATTACACATAGTGTGTGATGGGTAAATTGTCACCATTTTATATTTTTAATTTCATACATGTGCATTGTCTGTTTTTGATTTTTTTCAACTACACAGTATAGTAGGTTCAGTTGGGCACCATCTGTGAGAAAAAAGCACCATGATGCAATTCACTCTGCCAGAAATTTGGAAACGGCATGCTGTACTGCTTGGCATTCATGCCAAAAGCTCTAATACAAACATTTCAGGATGTTTGGATGTCAATTTGAGGACAGTGCAGAGGACTTGGAAAGAGTTGGATGAGTAATTATGGTTACAAAGGTACAGCAGCTCAGAAAACTCACTGATTGTTCTGATAAGAAAAGAACTCCTGAATTTGTCAGTAAGGGCCTCAGACTCAACACAGAGGCCTACATCAAGTGCCTACAAGAGGAGGTAGTGCTGCCCTGGGTAAAGAGGTTGGCTGCTGGAAGAACCTATGTCTGGCAACAGAACTCTGCACCATGCCACACAAGCAGGAAAACCTAGTCACGGCTGTCAAACAATTTCTGTGACCACATCACTCCTTACATCTGGCCACCTAACTCCCCAGACAGCAACCCCACATGATTATTATGTGTGGGGCGCAGTTCAGTGAAAGACCAATAAAACTTATTTTAAGACCAAAAACTAATTGAAACAAAGGATTATGGCATCATTTACCAACTTAAACAAGAAGACTGTCCAGAAGAATTGCAGAATATTCTGAAGTCGACTGGAGGTTGTGGTTGAAGCCAATGGCGATTTTATTGAATAAATTTACTCTTTAGTATTTAAGGACATTTTTGTGTAATTTTAGTAAATATATCTGTTAAAATGAGATGTCAATGTTATTTAAATTTTTGCATAATGTAGACGACAATTTATCCATTGCACCCTCTGTGTGTGCGTACATATATACATAGATACTCACAAAGAAAGAATATTGATAGTAAAAAAAAGCACTATCAATAGTTGTATGTTATTACTGACTATGACTAAATCTTTTATTGTAAGCTTTTTTTATTTCCCACTGATATTTCCCACTGACTACTTCACAAATTCTCCTTGCTTTACTCATTTTCAGCATTAATAAGCTAAATATGTTGGCAGGAGTGAAAAAAGCTAAAATTTGATTATATTTCATCACTCTGTATGCTATTCATTGAAACTCTGAAAGAAAAGAATTGTCAGCAGTCAAGAATTAAGACCAACTTTAGTGAAAGAGAATAGAGGCTGCCATATCTAAAATCAAATTTCATTTTAAGATGAAAATTGTAATCTTTATCACCAATCAAGACAAGTTTCTCTGTTTATTTGCAAATTACAACTCTACATTTAAGAAACAATAATATCAGAGCAGCTAATCTTACAGATCATTGCTAATGCTCTGTTATCGAGACCTTGTGCCAGACTAAATACAATTGGCTTTAATAAACTTTTAACAAATATGTTTCATTAAAATTTTACAGACTGAATAATGAAGTCAGTTTTTGGACTAGACATGTTTACCTCACAGAATTCTCCATTTCATTATAATAGACCTCAAAAATGACAGATTAATGAGGGGCCAATCTGCAATTCATCCCCAGATGGAATAATTTATAGGATTCATTGTTCCAGTGAATCCATAGAAAATAAAAATTTTTCCCATTAAATGCATTTCTATCAAATCATATCAGAATGACAAGAAAATGACCCCCAAGGAAATTACATGCCAAAATGACTTTTTATTTTAAGTTTCATTTTGATTTGAATTAATTTTTTTTTGCATCTTTTCATTCAAAAATAAAAAAAATAATTTTCAAAATAATTGCTCTAGGCATAATACAATTCATAAAAAAGAAGCACCCTGCAAAGCAAACAATATTGTCAGGTTTGCATTAAGCTTACATTTAAAATTAAATAAGGTAACAAAAAAAAAAATAAATAAATAAATAAAATAAAAGACAAGACATTTGAATCAGTCTACAAAATATGCAATTTTGCACTCAAATCAAAAGAGATAAAAATAGTTTAAAGTAACATCTCAGGAAACACTTAGGGACAATTCCATTCATCTCAATCGATATGTTTGTGTAATCAGATCAAAAATATAAATAAAAAAAAAAAAACAACTGAAATAAGTACATTATTTTCAATACAAATTATACAAGTGATAATATTATTGATTTATTAACTTTCAAAACAAAACACATATTGTTTTATATTTTAGTCAAAATTATTTATTTGAAATTTTATGAAAAAAAAAAAATAAAAGCAAATTGATGAAACAAATTTTCCATGATGGATTTCAATATCACATTTTTTTCTATTTTGTATGAATGCCAAATGACATCATCATAATGACAATGGCATTTGGCTTTGATTACTTAGTTTTAGGCTTATGGCCATATCACATTGAAACATTGGTTCTCATATGATCACTGTAGTTAAGCAACATCAAACCTGATCAGTACCTAGATGGATGACCACTTGGAATATCAGGTGCTGGAAGCATGGATGTACAAGTGGTGTCATGGATAACCGCTTGGAATTGAGAATTGGCTAGCTGAGTTCCAATTCCAGTCAGGTTTGTTATATTCATTTATGCACAAATACCTTTGGAAATGGCATGAATCCACCTCTCCTCCTCCAGCTATGGGTTAAGTAGGAGGAAGTTGATTAGATTATTTCAGTAAATTTTATATATAGACTTAACAAAAACTAGTAAATTTAACTTAACATTTATACTGCATTTAACTTTGAAAGTTATGCAATATATAATTCTTGAATGATCCTTATTTACACAATTTACATGCAAACTATTGTCCTCATCTTTATTGTTATCACAACATTTTGGCTGTTGTAATCTCTAACCTTTCTAAGCAACACTTTAAACCACTAGGCTATTGTCCAGTAGGGTAATTTTGTGCAGTAAGCTTGGAGCCTTAAACCTAACCGGCATACTGATTAATACTGCTACTGCCACCTGTCATGTTTGACTGATGCTGCAGTCGAAAACTTGCAGTCATTTGTCTTTCTTTATAAGCAGATCACATATTATAAATAATGATAACTCCTCATCCCAGAAATTCAGGCAGAAATTAGTAATTGTGAGTTCAATTCCTGGGCTGGGAATTGTGTAGTTGGATTCAGTGGAAACAGGACAAACAATAACTGAGTAGCATTAAAAATAAAAACAAAACAAGATATCCCTAGATATGTACAGTGGAACAAGAACAATCTACCCCCATAGAGTAAATAAAGGTTTCACTTCAGAATTCCCTGCAGGCTATTCAGATTGACATATACCTGATGAAGTTCAGAGCACACAACAGCTGAAACACTGTGATAACAACAACAAAGATGAGTCCGTGTGTAAATAATGATTACCCCTCACTTCAGAAATTCAGGCAAACTTTAATCCTGTCAATATAAACATGTAAAAAGGTGTTTTATATCAACAGGGTTAAGGAGATGAAGAGAAAATTGTATTGCGTTTGGAGATTACTTGAAAGCTTAACAATCAAGGTTGTGGGAATGTGCCACTTTTACGAATCTTTTATGATATTCATTCTTAAAGCTATTTTTTTGCCTTTTTCATATTGTGCCAATATTTTCAACAAACAAAACTCTAGATACAATCATTTTGCTAAGATGAATTAAGTACAGATTTAGATTCCATTAAATTTTCTGGCACATATCTTCATCTTTATTATTTTAATCATTTGGTTTCAACTGGTGTTAGTACATTTATATAGATACTTCTCGGTAGTTTTCCTCAGCTTAACAAGGCCAGGTTTATGATAGGTAATGAAGAAGATTTCACTGTTGGGAGTTTATTACTGGTGCTCACTTACTATGGCCTTGTATCAGGACTAAGCTAATCTTAGAAAATATTCACTCAGACACAAACCATTGAATTGATTGGATATTGATAGTAAAAGCAATTTTATTATGAGAGGAAGGGGAGAGGAGGAGAAGAGAAAGAGAATAGAGGGAATAGAGAAAAAAGAAGCATGGAAAAGAGACAGAGAATAAGAGGAGGAAAAGAGAGAGAGACAGAGAATAAGAGGAGGAAAAGAGAGAGAGACAGAGAATAAGAGGAGGAAAAGAGAGAGAGACAGAGAATAAGAGGAGGAAAAGAGAGAGAGAGAGAATAAGAGGAGGAAAAGAGAGAGAGAGAGAATAAGAGGAGGAAAAGAGAGAGAGAGAGAATAAGAGGAGGAAAAAGAGAGAGAGAGAGAATAAGAGGGGAGGAAAAGAGAGAATAAGAGAGAGAATAAGAGAATAAGAGGAGGAGAGAGAGAGAATAAGAGGAGGAAAAGAGAGAGAGAGAATAAGAGGAGGAAAAGAGAGAGAGAGAATAAGAGGAGGAAAAGGGAGAGAGAGAATAAGAGGAGGAAAAGGGAGAGAGAATAAGAAGAAGGGGAAGAGAGAGAAGAAGAAGTGGCAAAGAGAAAAGTGGGGAGAATAGGGAGAAAACAGGGCAAAAAAGTGGAAAAAATAGGGAAAAAACAGGGGAAAAACAGGGAGAAAAGAAGGGAGAAAAGAAGGAGTGAGTGGTTGAAAGAGAGAGAGAGAAGAAAAGATTGGATAAGGCAAAGAAGAGAGAGAAAGAGAGAGGAAAGAGGAGATAAGACAGAGGAGAAAGAGAAGAAGAGAAAAAGAGAGGGTGGGTGGGTGGTACAACAACTACTTTATTTCAGCAGCATTAAATCTGCATGAAATGTTAAGAGTTCTAAAAGGAGAAATTACTTTGGATATGAGCCATGGTTATTTTTGTTCTTTCTTTTAATGGTCATATATCGATAGAAAGCTCTCAGTAAATATCTATATAATACATAGAAAATAGGCATTTCATTTTTACAGGAGCCTACAGGCTCAGAATGCCCCACATTAAATACTGGCCTTGTGCCACATCTTGGTAAATAGAGAAGATACATATTTCATTTTTACACATTTCATAATAGGCATATTACACAAAATTAAAAGATAGCAAAAAGTTCTAAAACCCAAACTATATTGGATAATTATGCTAAGATAAATTATTCCATGAAATCTTAAAACGAGCATTTTTTTTCAATCACCACATTTTGGCTGGTGTGTTCTCTAGTTGTCATCAGGTGTCTATTGCATCCACAAAAATTGTATTTATTTTCCTGATGATTATCAGCTAAGTAGACTTCACAAGGACCATGGCAAGCTGTCCTGACAAGGAAGGTCACTGAATGAAGCCAGATCTTGATAGATTACTTTTTTTTAGACAAAGATAACAAGTCAAACAATATTCTCTATAAGAAAGTGGCCACTATCAGCAGAAAATACAGAGAGAGACAAAGGACCCGTGGAGAGTAACGAGAGACCATGTTGCAGCCACGCAGAATGGAAGACATACCTGTTTGACTGTTCACCTCCCCCTTACCTTATTACATCTCTGCTTTACTCATCGATAGCAGTAGGTTACAACTAAAATAAAATATTCTAACTGCTACAAAAGTATCATGATTTTATTTTGTGGGTGACAATCTGGCCAAAAAGTTATTTTTAAGCAATAAGCATTTTACTGAAAGAAGCTGCACCCTGAGAACAAACCTGATGTCCGGTCTGAGTTGCAAGGCTACACCTTTATTATACTGTAGTCTTTCTTATGGTTTTCTTAATTTGTGAATATCATAAAGAACTACGTTCAAAGTGCCTTGAAGAGCAACGGATTCAATTGACAGATGAAAAAAGTTGGAAAGATGTACTGGCTGAATTATGGCAATCAAAATAACAAAGATGAGGATACTCAGTCAACTAAATCAGAGAATAATCATAATCTTAGAACATCAAATTTACAAAAGTAATTTTATTAAGCAAAATAAATCATTATCTATAAGTTAATGATATATAAAAGTTACCTATCTATATTTCTGAGATGAGGTATTATGTACATTATTTACATTATTCGGACTATTGTTCTCATCTTTGTCACCATATTTGTTACAACGTTTCAGCCAGAGCATACAACGGCCGAAACGTTGTAATAAATATGGCGACAAAGATGAGGACAATAGTCCAAATAATGTAAATAGTGTATATAAAAGTTAACACTTTTTTTTATTATACTAAAGCAAAGAGGTATATAAAATTACATGAGCCAGATTCTAAGATTTATCAGGTGATAAGTAGGCAGGTGACATATCAATATGCCAGTGTATTGTTGCTGAAATATTTGGGTAAAATTAAGTCTGGAATATTAACTTTGGTTTTCTGAGATTTTTTTTTTTTACTTTTAATGTTTGTTGGATATACCAAAATCAAGCAAATATACAAATTTAAATATCTGAAAAATGATTTAACAGAGGATGGACAAATTGATACAAAAATCTAAAAGCATATTAGAATAGCAAAAGATACCGTCCTAAAAGCTAAGCAAAGAATTAAAAAACAGAAAAAATTTGTTAAAAACAAAGAAAAGAGATGAACCATTATGTAATATCAGTCTTCTTATACAGCAGTGAATGCTGGACAATCTCCTCTCAGATGAAGAAGAGATTTGAAGCAATAGGAATGTGGTTTTACTGAGGGATGCTGAGAATACCATAGACTGAACATGTGTGTACTGAAGAAACTAAGAAAAATGGAAGCTAAAAGCATACATTGAGAAAGTTGAAATTTCTAGGATACATAATGAAAAAAGGCTCGGCTAATTTGACACTCACATGATATCTTGAAGGCAAAAGGGACCGATGAAAACAGTGAATAATCTACCTGTAAATTGGTAGAAGAATAAAATTTGGGAGAAATAGTGAAAAGACAAACCTATCTATAAGCCACAAAGGATAGAAAATTGAGGAAGAATTAATTCAATTAATAATTTTTTTTTTTTTTATAGTGAAGTATCAAACTCATTTTAAACAACCAAAAATCATAAGTTAAGTTTTTATTAAATTTTCTTTTTGTATACACATAAAATACTCTGGTTTTTATTTTTTTTAAATTTTGAAAAAGCACTTTCAAAATTTACGAAAAATTAAATTTGAATCTTTTCACATTTTTCAAAAACATGTTTTAAATTTTTCAATAGAAAAAATGTCACCTTAAAAATTCAAATATATCCATGAATCATCTTCAAGGGAAATAATGATTATTTTTTTAAAAAGTACAAATCACTTGTACAAACTTCCAGTGAAATTAAGTATACAAAATGTTATCAAAGTTTATTTCTCTGGACAGTCATTGTCAAAAATAAAGATAATATATATATATATATATATATATATATATATATATATATATATATATATATATATATATATATATATATACACACACACACACGCACTTATATATAAGAAAGAAGAGTCACTCAAATTATTAACTACCTTTAGAACTTTCTTTATTCATTATTAAGAAATATAAATTTATTTTAGATAAAAAAAATATTTGATTAAAATCATTAATTTTTTCTACTTTTTTTTTTCCTTTAATCATTTCCCCCAAAGCAAAGTGATAATGCCACTAAGACACAAAGGGTTACTGAGAGTAAAAAAATAAATGAGAAAACATTAGTGAGAAGAAAGGACAATTTCCTATCATTTTTATAGACTGGAGACAATTGACAAAAACCTGGATCTGAACAAGTTGCAGAGAGGCTCGTATCTGGACACACCAAGCTGTTCTACTGCTAATGGGGGACCTCAATGTAACTGGTTTTGACAGACATGTCTGCATGCAATTTGGGGCCTATTTTGTATCTGTACTGATGCGCATTCACCATAAACAATTGCTATGAAAATATTTATAGAAAAGGCACAAGGAAGGTATGTTATGACAATGGGAAAGTGACTGAAGCTGAGATGCCCGGTCAGGACTGATAAAATTGCAAATCTTACTTTGGATTTTGTCAAAAATCTTGAGATATATAGCTGGAGCACCAGATCTGATGTGGCAGCAATATTCAATGCACAGATGAATGGTGCATTTATAAAAATGCAAGATGAAATTCTGGCAAGAATTTATTTGGTGAAAATAAAAAAAAGCCCAAGAATTATATTTTCTCCTTTGTTTCATTGATGTATTTCCATACATCCTTCATATTGATTTACCTTTTTTATGCCTAAATTGATAGAGATACAACAACAAATAAAAAGCAGCAAAGCTTTTACATTATATGAATTCTTATTTATTTACATATTATTTTATTATTATATGGATATTTATTTTTCAGTTTTTAAAATTTTCTTAATAATCTTGAAATAAACAAATCCTTTTTTTTATTTTTTTAACATAGGCAGGAAACAAATAATTGAAACCAGTAATTTAAGAGAATATTCAAGTTTTTAAAAAGATATTTTCTTAATAGTCTTGTATTGCAAAAGCAACAAATTCAAATTCTTTTATTTAACATAGGCAGGAAACAAATATTTTAAACCAGTAATTTAAGAGAATATTTTTCAGGAAAATTTCCAATTTATTTTTTGAAATTCACGTTTTTCTGATGTTAAAGAAATTTTTTTGTGATTTTTTTTTCTTTAACTCATTCTGTTATTTTGGAAGTTTTACAGGAAATAGAAAAGCAGACAAAAATAGGAAAAATAATGATTTAAAGAAAAAAACTTTTTGTTTCATTGAGAATCTATTAGAGTATCAACAGCTGCTGCAGGTTCTCTCATAGTTTCATTTCACTTTTAGTTATTTCTGTATGGTATAGTCTCAATCTAAATTAAAAGTTCTGAAAAAAAATATCTCTATATATAAAAGGCAGGATGTGTGTGTGTGTGTGTGTAACGAATGCACGGTCACAATTTTCGATGGATTTGCACCAAAATTTACACGTACATGCTCTAAGTTAGTGAGAAGGCCAAGACTGACGTTGCATTTCCCAACTCCCATCGATAGTGGAAATAATTGATTTTTTCATGCTTCTACGGCAGTTTTCATGTAGTTTGCAGCCATTTTGTACTGGCCAGAGCGAGAACCAATAGCTGGCTGCCATGAATAGGCAGGAAGATTCTATTGGCCAGCGTGAGAGCCAACAGCTGACTGACATGAATGTTAAGTAGCATGCAAAAAAAAAAAAAAAATCGATAGCTGCATTCGTCACAAGTGGGAAAAATTTAAATCTGCATGGCACTTTACTCCAATTGGCTCATTCGCTTGCTTAAACTCAACGTTGATTCTGATTCTGCAGAACTGGGTTGGGTGTGAAAAAGTATTTGTTGTTAACATTCTTTTTTTATTCGTTTTTTCCAGTTACAAGTCCTTTTTTAAAGCCGATTGTTTTGTGTTCATTTTGTTTAGTTCTTTTTTCGTATCAGATTTAATGTTTAGTATAAAGCTTGGAAAAAATTAGCAGTGTGAGATAGGCAAGAAGTAAGGCATGTAGCAACATCAGCACAGCAAAGGGCACTCCTTTAAAGGCAAGGAAGGGCAAAAATATTTTAAGTCAAGTGATAGCGATTGCTGTATGAGTCGTACAATTTTTGAATCAAGCACGGGCAACACCAGGCCATGCTGCTAGTGTTTCTATAAAAGATTAGAGTGGACACTTCAAAATGGTGTAATGGTTAACAAGCTTGTCTCATTAGATCCATGAAGACTGAGTAGTGATTTTGATCCTGACTGGGTGTTCCATATTTTCGGCCTTGTGACACATTTAAGCTACACTTTGTAAATTGCTACAAAGATTACAGTGTAAGTGGAAGGGAGTG